CCGACATGTATAACAAAGAAAAACAGCTAATTTTCACATTTAAGAGGCTTAAACAAGCAAATGTTTGCAATTTTTTCTTGAAAAATTACTAAACTAGGTAACCAATTATCAAATAATTTGCTGATTAATTAGTCTATCGTCCAGTTAAACTTGTTTTCAGCTCAAATCATGCACTTTTTTATAGAGCTTCCTAGAAAAATGTGTTAGTTTGTGGCGTTGTGTGCCCACTGTTGCTTCTTAAATGGTGGTACATTGTAGAAAATCAAACTTTATTCAACAATATTTCCCAAAAACTAGCAGCAATACCATTTACCTCCAAGTTACATATAAAGAATCAAATCCTTAAAATGTTAAAACATGGTTTAAAACCAATTATCGATTGTCAAGGACCCTGGATTTTGGGTAAAACCAATTATCAATCTAGTATTTAAAGATTATGTGAGCGTATAGAGGCAGAAGCTCTCAGGTTTCTTTGCACGCTGCAAACCTGCGATGTGAAAATCAATATCTCGGCCTGTGAAGCTAAATGAAAGCGTCAGTCGGCTCCCCGGAGTTCGGAGGTTTGGTCTCATTAAGATCGACCCAGTAAGGAAATGGATCAGACCAAAATAGCCTCCTCTGGGAGTTTAGCCGCTCTCCTGACCTCCAAACATCCAAAATACTATGATACAATCATCCAGCGTGTACAGTAATGTCGCCATTCGATTCCTGAAAGTGATCGATATTAATATTTTGTGCCGTACTGGGATGTATACATGCGTTAACATTTCTGTCAGAGATGTTGTGTAGGTCGGCCGATACTCAAGACTAACTGATAAACCGTAAAAAAAAGACAATAATGTCAGTACAATAACCGTGTTGTGCTTTAAATTTAAAAGAATAATGAGATATTTTGGTAATAATTCACTTGCCAAGAGTTTAGTGAGACAATTGACACCACTCTCAATAAATAAGAAGCTACCACCAGCTACTAGTTAGCTTAATTATGCTAATTTTATGGAACTACAAATTGGTGTTTTCATATGTTGGATTTTTAACATCTTAATGAATTGCGCCTAAGCTGCCAGTAGGTGGATTTTCTTTCTTTTCGATGGAGCAAGGCTTTTAAAACGTTACAGTCCTTTTGCTTAGTTAGGCTAAACGGCTGCTAGCTCCAAGTTAGCGTCATATTTTTTAGCGAAGACTGAAAACGGAACAAAAGGTAAAATCATCTTTAAAGCTCAGTAATTAAAAGTTTATTGAATGTAACATGAAGTATAAGAAGTATTTGTGTTAGAAAGGAAATTCAGCTAGCCAGCCGCTAACAAAGTTTAGCTCGTCAACCTAAGCTAACTGGCTGTAAGCTAGCTTCCTATTTTTCTGGAAAAACGGAAAACATACAAAAAAACTGGCCTTTAATTTAAACAACATTTAATTGCACCTTTAAAGTTCACACATTACAAATGTAATTCACATAAAAACCAAAGTGCAAGAATAATTTGTGGAAAAAAATAATTAGCTAACCTAAGCTAACTGGCTAATTGTGTCAACTTTAGCATACCAATGTGGATCTGGTGTCAATTTTCTTCTCTAACTTTGGGCAAAAAGTAAATAAAAATGTCAAATTAATCCTTTAATTTAATATTCACCCACTTTTTTATGTTTAGATTATTGTGTATCTCAACATGTGTAGAACTACCTCTGTGAGACAGAAGTATATTAGCATTTATTTAAGAACATAATAATACATAGAGATATATAAATCAATAGTCACTGAGCAGCAGGGATGTAACTATTTTTGTGAAAAGATAAAACTATATGGACGTTTATTAAAGAATATATGACAGTGAGGTAATTAATTCCCCGTTACAGGTGTAATTACACCAAAGTGCTTCCTGAAAACATCGATTTCAAATTATTCTATGATCAACTTTACAGAGAAACGTCTCAGTTTTGCCAATTTTTGTTCTTTGTTTTTGTTTTTTTGAATATTAGGAATCCAGATGTACCAGAGAATATATTTGTACCGCTGTATGTAAATGATATTTAACGCTTGCTAAACGCTTTATTTATTACCTGACCGTCTGCGATATATCGTCTTAAGTTATTCCAAAGCAGAGTATATATATATATATATATATTGATGATTATTATGCTTGTGCCATGACTGTCGTCACTTTGACACATCTGTTGTTGTTATGACTTCGCTGTATTATACATATTTCTATGTTTCCGTTGATGGTGACTGTTAGCTGTTGATTTGTCGTACTGAACAGTTTGCAGGTATTTTTTAAACCTCTGAGCCTTTCTTGTTAAATGACAGAATAAATATTAAGGTTTTTTTTTTTTTTGTAATATTTGAAATGTAAATTAACATTTATTCTGTTGATAGGATCATAATTGCAATATGTTAAAGGGAAGTTTCTGATTATTTCAGGGGTAAAAATTCTAATTTAATGATCTGCAAAGTGTCTCTAGGAAAGACGAGAGTGTTGTTAGAGGTGTTTTAATCCTACAGGATGTTGATTTGCACTGTTTTTGTGGCTCTTCTGGTGTAAATTCTCCGCACAAAGCAGGAAACTCTGTCATTATTTGCGTTTCTTTTTCGACTCCGCGACGGTTTCTCGTCCAAAAAGCTTTACGTCCCATCATCCACGTCGCTCTAAATGTACCACAAACCCAAGAAAAGCCTCCCGTCGGTGTGTCCGGACGTCACACTCCTGCTGAAATAAACGTGGCGTGCCTCCAGCGGCCGAACACAAACAGACTTCGGTGATGTTTTGTGAAGTTGCTCTGACTTGGGGTTCTTGCTGTTTGTTCCTCAACATGCTTCAGAAACTAAACTCTCCGTCTGTTTGTTCATCTGTTTGTGAGTCTCCTGAATGTGATTGTTTTTGTGTGTTTGCATCAGCACGACTTTTGCTCTCTGTCGACGTGCTGCCCCCTGCTGGTCGTCAGCGGGAAGTTCAACAACAAAACATGCTCATTAAAACACATTTTAACTGAATTTTTGCTATTAAATCAGCAAAACAAAGGATCCTGAATACATCAGAGCTCTTCTCATACATTTTATCACATCACTAGTGAAAAATGTAAAGTACCAGGTGGTTTTATTGCTTTTTTGTGAGGTTATTATCAGTTTAAAACCACTTGAGACAACAGAACTATGATTTACAAAGATGTAGAAAAACCAGCACAAGCCCTGATTGCTTAGCAGATTTTCCATATTTTTCTAAACCACTTTATCCTCGTTGTTTGGGTGGTAACGCCACTGTTCACCTTTGTTTGCTTGATAGTGTAGGTGTTTATTTACGACCTCTTTCTTCATCTGACTGCTTGTTTTTCTTCCTAGTTTTCCAAAACTGACAGAACAAACCTCCAAATCATAGAAAATCAGACCTAAATGATCAGTTTTTGGTCATTTTTATTTCTTTAATTAAACTTGTTCTAATTCAGAAAGTTGAGTAAAGCAAATTTCATCATTTTTCTTTTATGAATAACTTTGGTTTGATAAAAAGCTGCAAAGCGACACGGGCAGCAGTGTTTTTCTTAGTTTGTATTTGGTCATTTTTATCTCAAGTCATCACATTTTTTAGCTATTTTTGCTCGACCGTCCCTGAAATTTTTATTGCATAAAAAAATTTATATTTATAGAGATATTAGTGAAATTTTAGGTTGATATATCAAATACTTTCTGAGATATTTATTTTTAAGAATTGCCCGTTAACCCATTGCAGCAGGTTTGTTCGCACATGGAAATTTGAACGACAGTATTTCAGGAACTACTGAAAATAAAAACATGAAATTTAAGTTAGTTCTCAAGTAAAATACTTCATATTATTAAATATTTGGTCACAAAAATGAAAAGGAAGTTGTTTTTGTTAAACTTTCACAACTGTTTGAGCAGGTACAACAAGCTGTTGTTGTTTTTTTAACATGAGCGGATATTTAATTTTTGAAATCATTGACGGTTTTTTGATATGTCCAGCTAAAATTTCCCAGTTCTCATTTTAAACATCCAGAGTTTATGACTGAAAACAAATCAGATGGTCAAGCAGAAGAATGATGATGATTTGAGATGAAAGAATTTTCTTCCTGATTTAGCGTTTTCTTGAATTAATGTCTTTAATGTTGCAGAAACTTGAGGTTCTTCTGTTTTATCAACTCTGCAGCTTTATGTAGTTTTACGTATTTTCACTGTGAATCTAGAAAGCTGTGTTTTGCCTGTCACGAGCGAAGACAATTTGAAGTTCACTGGCAAAGAATTTAAAGAAGAAAAAGCAAATTAGACTGTGTGGACAGAAGGTGGCGCTGGAGCTGAGTTAGCTGTAATAAGCAAAGTAAAGGAAGCCAGAAAGGAAAACTGTTGTTCGCTAACTGCTAACAACAAAACAAAAAAAACTCTAATAAGAAGAAACAAACAAAACTTTGTCTCTTTTTTTTTTAATTCCAATTTCAGTCGTGAAAGTTGTCGTTTCATGTCAGCTGGTGTTTGATTCTGTCTGGAGTCTGATCAGTCGTGTGAGGAGGTAAATGTTTCTGTCAGAACCTTTTTATAAATGTAGACAATAGAGGATGTTTTGCCAAAATAAAAGTAATTTCCATTAACTTTTCAAAATGCAACACATTAAAAATTTCGATACATCAGTCAAAATACTACAATACCCATAAGCCCCGGTGCTGCTGTTGCCATGGAGAGGAAGAAGAAACCAGGAAGAGGCTGATTTTTAAGCTGGTTTAAAGTAAAACTTGTGTTTTTCTGAACATTAGTTTAGAATTTTAACCTCTGTGATTGGATGTTTCTTGAAATGCATGATGGGAAATGTAGTCAGTTTATCCCTGAGCTTAAAAAACTAATATTTTCTCACACATTTCTTCATCTTTTGCACTGATTGTTGGTTTTCTACAGCAAACATGAATAGAACTTTAACTTCAGGAACCAGATGTGACCACAAAAATGATTTTTTTCGGCGCTCACCTGCACAAATCATCACGTGTGCTTCTCCTCTTGGTCTCCTCAGTGAAGGCTGCCGGCGAGAAAACACGGTGAAGAACGTCGGATGCCGAAAATACGCCTTCAACTCGCTGCAACTCAAGGCCTTCCCCAAACACTACCGACCGCCGGACGGCACCTACGGCAAAGTGGAAACCTGACGGGGAAGCTGTGGACGTTCTGCCTCCTGCTTGGTGACGGAGGTCAGACTGAGGACAATCAAGACGCTGGTCAGAGACGGCGTCACGGTGAACAAACAGCTTCACCGGCCTGATAGAGAACATTTCCACCACCTTAGTTCAACAACAGTTGTAGGTGCTGCATTAGTTGCTTGTGTCATATTAAGCAGAACACGAGATCGTTTTTTGTTTTCAGCTGTAAAGGAGAAAGAGAAGCACTGCCTCAGTCACCTGAGATCAAACTCTGGTTTATAAAACATGCAGGTCGTCACGTTTGACCAGTTTTCACAGTGAAATCAAGAGAAAACTGATTTAATTCAGCAAAAGAGAAGTAAAATGGTTAAAAACAGACGGTTGTTCAGAGGAGAGACTTCACTTCAGTCTTTTTTGGTTGGTTTATTCCACCTCGAATCATCTCCTCGACCATCGACGATTCGCTTTAAACCTTTACATCCTAAACTCTGGATATTTAAAACGCTGTCTGTGACATTTTAGCCTCACATATTAAATACTTTCTGGAATAAAACAAACCAAATTAACCCCAGTTTCACATGTAAATTTGAGGCTGTTTGAGCGACGACATCTCAGAAACTATTAAAGATGAAAACCTGAGATCTTCACTCATGTTTCTCATCATTTCATTAATTCAGAATCTATAATATTAGACAAGCAGATCGAATCATGTCTGGAGAATAAATGGAACTCTTAATTAAAAACCAACTCAATCAGTCAACAAAAACAACTTCCTGTTTTCATTTTTGTGACCAAGTATTTCACATTAGAAGCTGTTTTATATGTTTTTGTGACGTGCAGCTACATGTGATTTATCAAATATCACTCGCTCACGTCTGCGTTGACACATTTCTTCCTAATTTGTGCTCAAAGATGGAACTTTTCACGTTTCATTTTCAAAGAATGTTTGATCTACTTGTCTAATGTTGTAGATTCTGACAAATAAATTCAGTTTTTTTCTTTAATAGTTCCTGGGATGGATTTCAACATGAGAAAAAACCTGCTGAAGAACATTTCTCAGGCAGTGTTTGATATAAAAATCTAAAATTTCACAGATATTTTTCTAAGATTTCAGGTAAATCCGAGACGGTCGAGCAGAAACGGTTCTAAACATGTGTCTGTTTGACCCACATGTAAAACCTTCATGGCCTTACTCGTCTTCTCCACACACGCCGCCACGTAGCATAAAGCTAAACTAGCATCTTTAACCATCCAGAAACAGTAGCAGTGTTACGGGAACGTTACCTGAAGTGCCCTTGAGCAAGAATCCAAACGCCACCGACCAGCCTGGAGCGGAAACAGGAGATCAGTCCAGATGTGGAGCTCGTTAGCAGCAGAAAACCTGTCGTCTGCTTTTTTAAGTCGGACGGAGCAACGTGATCGACGTGGAGGTCATTTTGTGGCTCTTTTTGCTCCATGTTTGGTCTCCACCGCCTTTATTTATCCGCTAAACGCTTCACATTAACACAGTTTCCATTTAAAACACACAACTTCTGGCCTTTAGTTTGCACTGAGATGATTAGAGCTCGTATTAAAGGAGCTTTTAAAGCAGATGTGGACCAACTTCAAACCAAAAATCGTGAAAAGAAAACCCGTCCCATCATGAGGGAGGATTTCTGTAAAAGTTTGATGGAGTACAAAGTGCTCAATTTGATAAATCTACAGACTAAACTGCTGTCTGTCTGAATCTGACGGAAAACGATCGCAAACCTTGAATGTCAGTTTCTGTAACTCGTAAAGTGTTCAATCTCCTTAAAGTCCTCTAAACAAAGACGAAGCTTAAAACAAATCTAAGGTGAAGGAAGACGTCAAAATGCAGATAAAAAGTCAGTAAAATGGGAAATAAGTAGCATAAAGTGGGATAAACATCATGAAAACACTGTGTCCTTATTCCACCTTTAGTTTCTATGCAATCAGTTTCCACCTCACAACGTTTGAAAAGTGTCAGAAAGAAGCCGTCGGACCTCATGAAAGCTGAAAAATGTCTGTTTCTACTTGAATAAAATCCCTCTGAGACACGTGCTGTGGATGCTTTTGTGTTTATTTCTGCAGAATTCATGCGCAGCGATCAGTTTGAGCCACACGGGGGCGTCACAGCTCAGAAAATCCACCTCCCAGCTGGACTTTTGAAACATTTCAGCAGCTCGGATCGTCACATTCGGCTGCTCTTTAGGTGAAATCATGCTGTAGGTCCTCTGATCAGCTGCTGTTTGTTCTGCTGATGTGAAAACGTCTGTAAATGTTTTCATGTTGTACAAAAACTGTCAATATCTGACGCCGAAATAAATCTGAACCGGGTTTGTTTTTTTTTTGTTGTTAAATGTTAGATTAATGATTTCTCACTTAATTAGTTTCCACTTTCTTTTTTTTTTTTTTTTTAATTTATGCAAATAGAATTGCATGAGTCATTCAGAAAAGTCCAATAAATCAGAAATATAGGACATTTATTTGCAAAAAAATCAATGTGTTGCCAAAAGTATGTGGACAAACTCCCTGCATTTTGAACAGAAAGCTGTCTACATACTTTTGGACATTAAATTATGATGTAATAATGAGCTGAAGTTGACGTTTATATTATTTAATGGTTCCACATAAAAACATGAACATTTTTTCGACAGTCAACTGGTAAATAACACTTTTTAAAAATCTAAATTTCATCTTTAACAAAACAAAGAAAATCTGTAAAGTTATTGTCAAAGTTAATAAACATTTTTCTATCGTTAATATATATAATATTTCTTCCAAATAACAGCAGATATCTGTAAAATTGAGATTATTTACAGATTTAAATACACAAAAAATCGTGCAATTTATTACCATTGCTAGGAATAAATTACTGTTTGTAAAAATAAATAAATTAATATTTGATGCAGATATTATTTAGAGTTTCTACTTGTTTTATTTTTTAACGGACAACATGTGAATTAATACTTTTTTTTCTCCAGTTTCACTACAATTTATTTGTAATCCAACAAAACAGGGAAACTTTATAACATAACAGTTAAAAATACGTATATTTGTAAGTTTTTTTAACCCTGAATATATTTAATTTTCTTTCAAATAACAGCAAATTTCTGTAAAATAAGTGTCTTTGCCTATTTAAATAGAGTTATATTATTATAATTTCATGGCCAAGCTCGTAACTTTATTTTTAATTTACGTATAATCAGTAGAATGTGCAGATTTGTCTTGTTTAAGCTGCTTTGTGTTTTCAGTTTATTCCTCCGACCAGCAGGTGGCGCCTCCTGTCTGGCCTGAAGGGAAGCTGCTGGAGCTGCAGCAGGTTTCGTTTTCGGTCCAGGTGAGCTCAGATCAAACAGCTGCGTCACGTTTACACTCAGTGTGACGACGACAGAAGGATTTGGTGCAGATGTGAGGAGAAGCTCTGAGCAGGACCAGGTGAGTGTTTCTGC